CCTGGAGCTGGTGCTTCCCCCCAAGTGCCACGCGCCCAGGGCCAGCGCCTCCTCCAAGCGCCATGTGCCCGGAGCCAGTGCTGCCCCCCCTCCAAGGGGCGTGTCAGAGGGGACCCGGCTCTGGCTGCCTTTGGGGCTCCCCCATAGCCACGTGCCCAGGGCTGGCGCCCCCTCCAAGCACCATGCACCCGGGGCCGGCTCCAGCACCATGCATGCACCACGTGCCCGGGGCCAGGCCAGCCCCGAGCACCTGGCGGGCGCACACAAATGCCCCCGCAGGTGCCATGGCACCCGCGGGCACTGTGTTGGGGACCACTGGTCTAGACAGTATTTGGTCCTGCCATGAGGGCAGGGGACTGGACTAGATGACCTCTTGAGGTCCCTTCCAGTCCTAGTATTCTATGATGATTCTATGATTACTACATAGGTTACTACAGATTGGACCTCCCTGCTCTGGCACCCTTGGGACCTGACCGGTCCTAGATGAGGGATTTTGCAGAATGAGGGGAGGTCAGATCTGCCCCGCCTTTCCCCCACCAGTGCTAGACCAGCCGCAGGCCTTGCTGCCATGGCAGACCCCTGCCCTCTCCCCCACCTTGCCTGCCATGCTGGACAATCCAGTGCACTGTGCTCCCGCCCTGCCGAGCAGCCCAGCTGGGCCATGCCAGGCAGGCTAGCTGAGCAGCCCCGCTGCGGCTCACTATTCCTGGCTCCTCCAGGCAGCTCCGCTGTCGTATGCTGGGCTTCCAGACCCTCCAGGCAACCCAGAAAGGGCACACTGAGCAGCCTAGTTGACCAGCCCTGATGCTGCACGCCGGGCTCCCAACCCTGCTGAGAACACCCAGCTTCTTGGCTGTGAGGATCTAGGCTCTTGGTCCCACTGGTAGCTCGCTGCCAGCACCCCACAACCCTCCCAGTCTGAAGGGCTCCTAGGCACCAGCACTCCACCAGGATTCTCTGGTCTGGGACATCCAGAGTTGTTGCAGGACCAGAGAATCCTGGTTTACAGAAGTTCAACCTGTATATCACACACTATATTTAATTTTAATCTTCTCTAGACTGGTATAAACTACAAGTAACACCACTTCACTCCATGGTGATTCGCTTACATGTAAAAAGAAGGTATGATCAAATTTCAGCCTTATGGATCTATTGTATGATATACATAATAAAAATGTGTGTGTAAAGACTTACTTGTATTATGTTTGCAGTTTTTAAACTTCAGTGTCTCCACCTTCTAACTGAAGTTATTGGTTATCTGGGAGCCAGTTGGTGAGTTATAGGGTTTTTTTCTCTTGAATTAACAAGAGGGGAATGTAATGACCTCCATTATTTCATTATGCAACAAAGCTGATTTTACTTCCATAATTAGTTAAAATAAAGAATGATACCAGAACGCCTAATTCTTCCTACAATGAAAACAGATTTATTTGGAAATTGGAAAAAGATTATTTACTGGCAAAGATCATATGTATCAAATTTCTGTTTAAGACCAATTACATTTTTCCACAATTACGTTAGAAATATCTTGGAATCAGATGATGAAAAGTGTCAATTTAAAGTTGTGTAACTTCAACACTTATCAGGTGAGGAAATTTTAGGTGACATGCAAGAATATTAGACAGAATTTAGCTATGGGTCTCTTCTATAAAAAGTGATGGTCATGCAAATGGTGCAATGGTTTTGCACTATAAACAAATGTTCACTTAGAATCAAACTATTTTAAAGATGTGAGAAATTAGATTTTGAACTCTGGAGATCAGAAACAAAAAGCTAGCTTACTAATTGACTGCACCACAGACACTTCAGTGGGAAATAATGACAACCCTACATAATGGATGAGGTAAGTTTGACTAATAATAATGACTTTGTATATCAGTTCAGGAGACTTATCTTCATTTTTTTTTATAAGAGACTGCAGGATGTGTTGCTTATTGTAATCACATCTGTGTATACTGTTGTAAAAAAATGGAGAAAAATGAAAACATACCCATTTTTACTGAACACCCGTATCCAAGCTTGGATGTTTGGTCCCAGAATACACAAACAATGTAAAGTAGTAAATGTAGATAGGAGGACTGCAAACAGGAATGTCTCAAGCACTGACCTATAAAGGAAGAACATAACATAAAATTAGGTAAAACAGACTCATTGCTCCAAGAGTCTTAAATTTAAAAAAAAAAAGCCATCTCCATTAGTTTTAAGAAGGTGCACACATTTTTTAATGTAGCAAGATATGTTTTGTCTCTTCAATCTCTGGGAACAAAGGGAAAGGAATACAATATCCACAGATAGCCCCATTGCCCTTAAATTAAATAAAAAGCTATAGTAATGCATCTTAAATATTTGTGTCCATTTACAAAGTACACGCTGATTTTTACTTTCACAAGTCTTTCATCCTTCTAGTTTGACTGTGGAAGCAGATAATTAAAGTTTATCTTCATGATAATATCATTACTCAGCATCTTAATGCCACTTCAAAACAGCTATTCTAACAGATGCAAAGCAGCTTTCCCCCCTGTAACTTCAGCTACCTCTACATTGGAAAGATTTGGCAATGAAAGTACTGAAAACTCATCAAATATGATTTTCTGCCACTCATTGTCAACATTTCACAGTCACATTGTTAGTTCCCCTTTGGACAGAAAGAGCAAAGCAACGTGAGTAACCACTGTGGGAATATGCAATGTAGTGTTAAGGCATTTTGGGAATGTGAAAAATTCCCAGTCAGTCACCTCACTGCTTCCCAGCCCTGGACTTCTGGCTTACTTTCATGCCACTTGTATGGCAGTCCTTGCTGCGAACTAGAGCATCTGCCATGAGAAATCACGGATCTCAGAATTTGCTCCGTGTTTTGTTCAATGTGCTCAGGACATCACACATTGCAGCGCAGCTACTTATTCAGTTAATAGCAGAGGACAAAGATTTGGATGAGGACAACAATGTGAGTGACAGAGACAGCACCAAACTGGCATTGCGTTGGGCTGTCACAGATCAGCTGTGAACAACAGAGCATTGCTTTAGGGCTAGAGAAACCAGCACTGAGTCATGGGACTGCACTGTCATGCAGGTGTGAAGATCCCTGGACACAGAACTTTCAGATGCGTAAAGCAACATTCCTGGCTGAGCTGGCCCCTGAACTGTGGCGCAAAGACACAAGAATGAGATCTCCATTTATACCTAGATTTTAAGTGAAGATATGGTTTTCAGACTTACTCTATTAGTGGTGCTCCATAAAGAACAATAATTCCATGAAACAATATACATGATATGAAGAAGAACACACAGCATTTCAGAAATTTGGTTATCTAAAAAAAAAGAAAAAACACACACTAAAATATCAGAATAATGATCTATACATTCTCCATTTTATCAACAGTAACCCACTATGCCTGTCTTGCAAACACGAATCATAGAATCATAAAAGAGCCCTCAGGAAGTCATTGAGTCCAGCTCCCTAAGTAACCCATTCCAGTGCTTCACCACCCTCCTAGTGAAATATTTTTTCCTAATATCCAACCTAAACCTCACCCACTGCAACTTTAGACTATTGCTCCATGATCTGTCATCTGTTACTACTGAGAACAGTCTCGCTTCATCCTCTTTGGAACCCCCTTTTAGGTAGTTGACTATCGCTATCAAACACCTTCTCACTCTTCTCCCCTGTAGACTAAATAAGTTCAAAACCCTTAGCCTCTCCATGTAAGTCATGTGCTTCAGCCCTTAATCATTTTTGCCATCCTCCACTGGATTCTCTCCAATGTGTCCACATTATTTCTGTAATGGGAGGCCCAGAACTGCACACACTATTCCAGATGTGGCCGCACGTGTGCCAAATAAAGGGGAATAATCACTTCCCTAGTTCTGCTGGAAATGCTCCTATTAATGGAACCTAATGTGCCAGTAGCCTTCTTGGCTACAAGGGCACACTGTTGACTTATATCCAGCTTCTCATCCACTGTAATCCCCAGGTCCTTTTCTGCCAAACTGCTGCTTAGCCAACCAAGCCCAGCCTGTAGCAGTGCTTGGAATTCTTCTGTCCAAGTGCAGGACTCTGCTCTTGTCCTTGTTGAACCTCATCAGTCTTCTTTTGGCCCAATCCTCCAATTTGTCTAAGTCATGCTGGACCTTATCCCTACCCTCCAGCATATCTACCTCACCCCCTATCTTAGTGTCATCTGGGAACTTGCTGAGGGTGCGATCCATTCCCTAATCCAGGTCATTAATGAACATGTTGAACAAAGCTAGCCTCAGAACTGACCCTTGGAGCACATCACTTGATACCAATGGCCCACTGAGCTGTTGATCACTACACATTGAGTCCAACGATCTAGCCGGCTTTCTATTCACCTTACATTTATCCAATCCATAAATCGTTAACTTCTGGCAAAAATACTGTGGGAGACCATATCAAAAGCTTTGCTAAAGTCAAAGTTTATCATGTCTACCACCTTCCTCATATCCACAGAGCCAGTTACCTCATCATAGAGAGCAATCAATTTAGCTAGGCATGACTTGCCTTTGCTGAATCCATGTTTATTGTTCCTAGTCACTTTCCTCTCTTCCAAGTGCTTCAGAATGGATTCCTTGAGGATCTCCTCCCTGATTTTTCCAGGGACTGAATTGTGGCTAGCCACTCTGTAGTTCCCCAGATTCTCCTCCTTCCATTTTTAAAAGATGGGCACTACATTCGCCTTTTTCTGAAGTTATTACATTGGACTATGGTTGAAACTGATTATTATGCAAGCTTTTCTGTGTTTAGTATTTTAAAGCTATATCAATTTAAAAAATAAAATTCTACTTCAGTATGAAAATGTGTTTTACTTACTGTGGTAATATTACAAGTAACAACTATGATACCTCTAACTGAGGATAAGAGAAAAATGTTCCTCAGTTTGTTTCCTGTTCACCTTTGAAAATGCCTGATGTTGCATAATGTTTTTTTTTGGAATGTATTTGACAAAGTACAATGGGGAATTAAAAATATTTTTTAAAAGGGAAATGTGATAGTAATACAACAAAAACTAGCACTTGGACATCATAGTATATAAAGCTATATTTGACTCCATCAACTACATTTTAAAACTGACTAGATTTCAAGATGACAATGCTGCTCATGTATCTAACTTTCTAGAATCCTGTTATATACGTTTTTAAATACACAATATTCTATAAATGTAGATGGTACTCAATTGTTACCTGTTTTTCTTTTGTATTATAGAAATTTTATGAGCAGTTTTAATTAAAGAAGCACCAACCAAAGTTGAGTGTTTCTATCTAAAACAAGTCACAAAGAAAACTTCAAACATTAGTTAAGTTTCGAGCATCATCTGAGTTTTTTTAGGTATTTCCTCCCCCCGTCACAAACTTTATAAAGGGTATTTTATTTTTCCCCCTTATCAAATAAATCAATGTCAAACCACACACTATATGTGAAAAACTACTCAATATATTTGGCTTGTCAAGCTATTTGATCATTAGTTCTTAGTAATAGTGGTCTATCCCCTCAACTCAGCAAGTCAGGTGCAGAAGAAAGTTGGTGACAACCTGCCTTTGTGTTTCCCCATTCTGAACTCTCTGAGTATTGGTCTAAACTCCTATGGTAGTATTCATTTTAGGAGTTTCATGTTCCCAATACTCCATCAGCAAAATGTAATATTATAGTGTCTTCTATAAAACTGGAGTGTCTATGGGGGGATGGCTTTGTTGTTCAAAAAAATCTTAACTAACCTTTCTCAATTAATTTTATTGTGCTTTACCTGCATTTAAATTTCCATGGGTTTACAGTTTTTCCTTGAATTACTTCTATGTATTAACATGTGTTAACTGCAGGAGACCAAACTTTTGAACATAATGCTGGCTTAGGCATGATCTTGCAGTGACATGTGTGCACGTAGACTACTGCATTCAGAGTCTCACTGATTTCTGCGAGCGTGGAGCTTATCAGAGTAATGGTGGGCATCCCATGACCTGCATACATCCATTAAGGTTCTATGTGTGACCCACAAGACATTTTGTTTACTGTTACCCAGGTGCAGTGTTGCCACACTCTGGTTTCCATCTGCATAGCTTTTCCTATTGGTATTACTAAATGACACAGAAGTAAAGCAAAGGGTATGTAAAATGATGTGTGCGCTGACTGAACACAACACTGATTATGAGAACCATGCACTCCCTCCACAGCCAAAATACTGCTATGGTTCAATTAGCATAACCCACAAGTTCTAGGCACACAAGAACAGTTAGCAAAGCTACCCTATCCCAGGAATGACAGTCTTGATTACGACAATTTTGCAGCCCATGTAAATGAAAGAGAGCCACTCATACTGTCTGTTCACTAGCATAGTTTGCTCATCACTGAATTGGAAGATGATGGTTTTAGGCTATAAGCCACCAGCTCTTGAAAAGACAATAAAGATATAACACAACCAGCACTCCTGGGTTTGCTGGAAATGTCAAAGGTAGAAAGAGACCAGTTAGAGTGGAATTGGCAGCATCAGGACTGTTAGATCCTTTCCCTGGCTCTGGGAGAAGAATGTGGTCCAGTAATGCTCCCCTCTGAAAAACTTCAATGGAAAAGAAAGTTTTAACACAGATAAAAATACTGGAAAACTCATTTAAAAAGGTAATACACACTTACTCCACTCATTTACAAAGGTGAAGATTTGACAACCATGCATTTGACTGTACTTTGTCCTTTTACTTTCCTAGTTGACTTCTTCAGGAAAAAGATAGTCAACCCTTCCTCAAAGCTATTAGCATTAAGTTAATTATACAAATTCTTACCTTGTGAGCAAGTGAAATTCTCTTAGAAGACGGATTTGGTTTAAGTATTATATACAATATTATATTTACAGTAGTTACACATATAGAACAGATGCACAGCCAGATAAGGTGTGTTCCCAAAACTGAGAAGTTCTCCAAGAAGAGAGGTGGAACAATAGTTGTTAAGATAATGGAAAATACACAAACTATGTGGGCAAATAGCAGTCTCTTTATTTCTGTATCTTTCATGGTGTTTTATCTTGAATAGTGCACCTACAATAAAGCAAATGACATTCCTGTAGTTAATTTCTGAAAAATTTAAGAGGGAGGGTAAACTTAAAAAAAAAAGTTGAAAAAGATAAATTGTGTGCTGCTCTAAAACAGAAAACCTAGGAGCAATCATGATGTTTCATTCCAAATTTTTTTTCAGATACTGTACTGCATTTTGTGATTTGGCAGTGAATTGTGATGTTTTCTGCTAAAACATCTGATTCACTGGCTTTGCTGATGTTTACATTCTCAGGCAGACACAGCCTATACCACAGGCTTTGTGCCATCAGGCAATTTGCAGAGGAGGAAAAAGGTTTGACCTTTGTGCAACATGCCTCAGTCTATGTCTAGACTGCAAGCTTCTTTTGGAAGTTTTTCCAGAAGAGATCTTCTGGAAAAGCTTATTTTGAAAGAGTGCATCCACACAGCAAAAGCACAATGAAAAAGTAATGTGCTTTTTCAAAACATAGCATCCACATTAATTGGATGCTATCTTGCATTTAAGTTGTGATTAATATGGACAGGGTGGCCACCAGGGCACATGTGTTATTTCCTGGAAGCCTTTTCTTTCAAAAGAACTCCCTCTTCTACGTCTACACATGCATTTTTCTGGAAAAGCTTTTTTGGAAAAAAGCTTCTGCCTCATAGAAAGAGGTTTACCACTGTCAGAAAAGCCCCTCTGTTCTTTCAGCTTTCTGTCGAAAGAAAGTAAAAGCAGTGTGGACGTAAGTATTGTTTTTCCAGAAAAATGGCCATTTTTTCTGGAAAAACGCTGCAGTGTAGACATACCCTCCGATGGCCCGAACCAGGCTGCATCACCAAATGGTTCGCTGGGAGGATCATTGGGTACCCAGAGTGGCACTGATGGGAGCGGCGAGGTGAATGCTGCCCCACGGCCCCCTTGTGACCTGTGACATCGATGCCACAGGAGAAGAAGCCCAGCAAGTACTGGCAGGGGCAGAGGCTTGACGGCTCGGCTGGAAAACGCACCACAGCAAGGAAAGGCAGCGGGCCCCGCCCAGGATGGGGTGCTGGGGAGCCC